ACGAACTTGGCCTTCTCGCTGTTTTTCGCCGTAGTTATGTCTTCATATAGCTGTTCTATATCTTCAACGTCGGAGGTACTAGTTGGGGTATATAATATACTTGTACTATCTGTAAACTGTATCTGTTGTTAATTCTTAACATGATGTACATAACTCGGGGTGAAATGGATCGCATGTTTGTTACTCTGTTTTTTAAGCGTCTGTTTACCATCAAAGCAACTCCTCCTACTTGATAGTTTGTTTCTGAGTTGTTCTGATATAACAACTGTCCAGATTTGAGGGAGGTAGTTAATTCTCCCTTTAGTCTTGTTTTACTAAGTCCAATTCTTTATTGATGCTATTACACAAACACAGTGCTTACACAAGTCAAAAAAAATATATCAATCAGTACATCAATGTTACAAAAAAATTTAAAAGAATAAAATACTTAAATCTAGGTCTATATTATATCACTTTGAAACAATCAAAAAAGTTTTAAAAAATTTTAACAGTTATTTATATAAGACAAACAAACAAATAAAGAAATTTAACAAATTTGGCGCAGTTATAAAATTTATACATGTATAGTTTATGTGATTATAAATAGATTATTGTATTTATTTTTATTTATTTTTTCTTGAGTTCCCAACAAATGCAATCACTCAGTATAAATCTTGTTATTCGACCAACTGAGTGTGGAGTTGTAATATCCATCTAGGGAGTAGAAGGCTTTACTAATAAGCATATCTTTGACTTTTTTCTTAAACAAACTCAAACTCAAAATCTCTTTATTTATCAATTTTAAAGTTATAATACATACGGGTAGGGGAGTGAGGCCCCCCTCAAACAATATATACATAACATTTACTTAACCTAAGGACATGACTTATATACTAAAAACTCAGTGTGCGCAGCACACTGCGTGCTACATGCGCGCCTAGCGCGCTGTGTGGCACTACCTTTAGCTTGGCCGATGTTCTGGCCGACAAGCCACCGCCCTTTTCCCATTGGATCTGTTCTCAACGTTCCCTGGTTGCCCTTTCACGTTATTATGTGACCTTTCAGTCGTTGGTAAGTACCACGGATGGCGCGCATTGGGCCACTATACTGGCCCGCTCAAAAAATAGGGGTTGATGCTGGATGTGAGATGTCGAGCGCGCAGCGCCCTCTTTGTGGGGAAAAGTTCCAAAAAACCCCACTTCCAATTAATTTAATACTTTAATAAAAACAAAACAAAAAAGTCGTGCCCCGTAGGGCGATGTGGTCCCTCATGGACGCTACCTCAACAGCAAAGTGTGAGCTAGGAGTTTGTGCGCGTGAGCGCGGGTTTGGATTAAATGGGGTCGAAAGCCCTGCACCCCGACCAATCCTGAGACCTGAGGAGTCTCTAGGTAATGGTTTGGGTGCAGGTGGAGGAAGATTGTGAGGGATGTCAGAGAATGAGGGTTGGGAGGATTGGGTGCAAGAATCTACCGGGATTGGGATATGCGTTTGCAGCTAAATTGGGCATTTTTGCCTAAGTACGATGGTCAGATTTGGGTTATTCGATACTTAATTAGACAAGTATATTTCCTCATAGCCAGCGATAAAGGAGATGTTTACACACTAGATCGCTGACCAGTTGGAATTTTCCGAAGAACAGATGATGCAAATTAGACCTTTGTTGGGATTGCCAGAGCCTCCTGCTTTAGGCTAAGGCAGATGGCGCCAGCGCCAAAGTGCTCGTCTAATTCTGTCTTGAAGATAGGATTTTAGCTGTGCATTGGTTTGGGTTTTACTTGGGGTTGTAATTAGCAGGTATGAGATAGGGAGGTGTTCATGGGGGTTCAAAATAGATAGGTAGATTCTTGTAAGGCGGGCCGTGTACTATGGGGTTGTCTGGATTATATTTCTGTGCGGTTATTCCGCGTGTTAGAGGGGGGCCGTGAATTTGTTGTCTATAGAACTTGTCGCTGATTTCATCCAGGTAGTCAGATATAAGCGGAATGGATGCTTGTTCATGCATGTCCGTTATTCTGGCGTACCTGGATTCCGACAGCACTCCCCTCTTATATTCCAGACAGGGGCCCCATAGGTGAGCATAGGTCTTATGACCTGTTTATAAATAAGCAATTTGTTACCTGGCGATAGGGGGGAGTTAGGACCGATGAGTGGGTACAATTTCTGCTGCGCACTGAAGGTGCGAGCCAAAGCGTGGGAGACGTGGTGGTGGAATTTCATTCTCTGATCAAAGATGACACCTAGGTATTCGGCTTATGCGGAGAGAGTGACTGGAATGTTATTGACGATAAGTGGGGTGGGCATGGTGCTATTGGTATGCTTCTTATGAAAGCATATGAGCTCAGTCTTTTGACCATTAACACTAAGCTTCCACTTATCGTAATAAGGTTGAAGGATTGTAAGGTGGTGGGCGAGCTGAAATTTTGTTGCTTGTGTGTAAAAGGATTGAACGTGAACAGCGGTGTCATCTGCGTACAGCGCCAGATTTGTATTCTGGAATTTTGGAATGTCCGCTGTGTAGAGTGAGTACAGCAGTGGACTGAGTGCCGACCCCTGCGGCACTCCGGCCTGAATTGGTTTGGAGTGTGAGCGGGCGTCTTCTTTTTTGACGCAGAAAGAGCGGCCGCTGATGAAAGACTGTATCAGGGAGATGATGTGTAGTGGGAAATTGGAAGTTGCGAGTAATTTATAGATAAGGCCTGCATGCCAACCCTATCGAAGGCTCGCTCCATATCTAGGAGCAACTTAAACAAGGTGTTGCTTAGGTTAATTACCTGTTCTGGTAGTTTATTAAAAAGCATGGTATCCTGGGCCATTTTGACATCTTTGCAATCTATGATAGTTAGGTCTTAAATTATTTTTATTTCTTGTGTTATGGTTGTGGATTTCGATAAAGCTGGTATACAAGTTAAAATGGTTTTTAACATACACAAGATTTTGCAGAATAAACTTGTGTATGTTAAAAACCATTTTAACTTGTAGGTATACCAGCTTTATCGAAGACCTAGAACGTCCCAGTTTATGTATTGTAATTCTTGTTCTAGTCTTTCCATATGTTATTCTTGGAGCCTTAGCGTTCGGACATTATAAGTAGCAATCATGAGTTTCTCCTTGAAAATATGTGTTGGTTGTTGGGTATGTTTCTTCGCCGAATTTTTGCCTCCCCCAGAATCCGTGAGGCAGACTGATAGATCAGTGCAAGATTCTGAGCTAACCGCTCTACTTGCCTGGGGTAATAAAGTTTTATAATTCGACATGATTCATTTGGCAAGATTATAGCATTTAAACGCCACGCTTGCCAGGCGGGTTGGCGAGTTAGGTTTCAACCGCCCATTTTGGGTACAGACGCTATTGACAGCCGTCCACTCTGGATTAGACACTGTCGGTATTCACTATATCTGGCGTAGATAACATTCTCGACTATATTCCACATTTCCTATCAAAAGGTATGTAGTTGAAATTGTTGAAAAAAACAAAAAATTCAGACTGAAACTTTGTAAAAATAGGTCATCTAATTTCTAATTCTTAGGAAAGCGTGTGTTTTAGAAAAAAGTTTTTTGTTTTTTTTTTTTTTTTTGGTTTTTTTTCAAGAACAAATAGGCTGGTGAAATTTCAGGTAAATGGGTAATTCTGAGGCAATTTATTTTTCATTTATGGAGGTCCAGTGACGTTCGTGGTTCGCCTAAAATGGTTTTTAAATTTTATCTCGAAAACAAAGCATACAGCTTACGGGAAAAAATGAGGAGACAAAAAAGTTGCATTTTTAAGTGTTTTATCCAAAAAATATATCCTATAATTAAAAATAAATCTACTGGACGATGTTTTTCGTGCAAAAAACCATCCGACATAACATGTGGCACGCCCCTGAAATTACTAGGTCAACTCTGAGCAGTCCAGAAGATATCCCATAAAGGTTTCAACAAACTATGAAAATTTCATTAAATTCGTCCAACGCATTTCTAAGAATTAATAACAAAATTGGTCTTTGGTATTTGGGAAGCGGGGCATTTCCGGAAATATGTTCCAAGGAGATTCAAACGCTAGGCAAGATGTAGATCTTCAATAGCGCGTGGCCCCCTCTCTTGGAAATCCTACAAAGCAAAAGAAAAAGAATATACCTATAATATTTTTGGTAGGTTCTAGATAGAGTATTATTGTTTAATTGTTCAATTAAGATTTTTGAGTAGGAACTTTAGATAACTTTAGATAGGTGAACAATATGGAAATATTCTTATCATGGGTTCCTACCTACATAAACTTCTCAGCACAACTTGATAGGTATATTCTTAATACTTGATAGAGATATTAGCCGAAAGAACATTTTTTAGGGTACATTATAATAATGTTCGTATGACAATATTCAAATAATGTAATATAAAGTAGGTTCTTAGCACAATCTTTCAGGTAGGCGCGTAAACATTCCAAAAAGCACTTTGAGGGAATATTCTGAGAATATGAATGTTCTTTCACTGTTCTGTGGGTTGGTAGTGTGTATTATCCTTCGGGGAGTCCCAAGGCGAGTCCCACTATTACGAATGCTTAAAAACGATCGATGATTTGGCAATGGCAACGTGGCAATCGCATAGTTCAGTTGAATGAGGTTGGCCATTATTTCGGTTCTCGTAATAGGTTATTGGAATATTTTCTGCCCCCCCTTGAATTATTTTCTGCTGCCGCCCATGTTTTCGGCCATATTTATATCTTTTCTATCAAACATAAAAACTGAAAAAGTCGTAAATTAAGATTTTCGACTATATGTATTTCATTTTCTTTATGAAACGACAGAGTCACAGTTTTAGAAAAAATACGAAATCCAAAAAAGTCGCAGATAATATTTTCGACTACTATTTCATCTTTTCTATCAAACAATGTAGTCACGGTTGCAAAATAAACATAAAAACCGGAGAAGTCGTAGATAACATTTTCGACTATATTTCCCTTTTTTTTTTCGAATGGTAGTCATAGTTTTTAAAAAAACAAGAAATCCAAAAAAGGCGTAGATAAAATTTTCGACTATACATTTCACTTTTTCCATCAAATATTGGAGTCACAGCTTAAAAAAAAAAACAGAAGAACCGAAAAAGTCGTAGATAATATTTTCATATTTTCGACTCTATTTGAGGTTTTCTGTCAAACATTGGAGTCACAGTTTGAAAAAAATATAAAAATATCTATAGAGAAGTGGACACTTTGAAACTGAAGCCCTTCATGCACCAGACCGAATAGCCTATATTGACCGAGTTAACGGCTCTTTTTTAGGTCACATCACAGCTCCCAGAGGAGGTCAATTCCATGGATTCCATACCTAGGCTGAAGAACTTGAACGCAACAGGCGCAGGAACAGGCGCAGGCGTCAAGAAAGAACGAAAAAATTTCCCGAAACGGACGATACAAATAATGCAACAATGGCTGTTTGAAAATAGATACGATCCTTACCCAGATAAGGATGACAAGGTGAAGTTATGCAGAGAAGCTGGGGTGACAATGTTACAGGTAAGAACTGTTTGTCAGCTGTCAGCTGAAGCTGGAATAAATACCTGATTATAATGATACATACCATACGATACCTACCTACTATTTATTGGCATATAACATCTAAGTTTTTTTTTTTACCGATTTACGTACCTATATTTGATTCTTTTTGGTTTAGCCAAAAAATCATCCAAGTAATCCTATTAAAAAAGAGATTTTTGAAAATAGTTTTTTTACGGTTAGGTACGCTATCTTCGGTCCAGTTTAAAGTAGACAAGCTACTATAAAGGTCTCAAATATTTCTAAACATCATTTGGAGGCAAATTACAAACCAGGCGGTTAAAATTTATTTAGTACAACTAGGTGAAACTTTGTGTGTATTTATACTAAACTTGCATCACCCAAAAATTAGCAACCAGAATAGACTTGTGAATTTTTCGACTGTAATGATAATATAGGTACTAATAAATCCTATAATTCCAACAGCTGAGTTACTGGCTTGCCAACGCCCGAAGAAGAAAACTTCCCGAAATGCTTCGTTTAGAAGGACGTAATTCGAAGGATTATACTAGGTCGTACGGCTCTAAAAAGATTCGGGTGCCAAAAAATACCAAAGCCAACATGCTACCTGTCGACGAAGGGATTGAGTATGTTTTCATATAGCAGGTTAAACAACTAATGTAAAAAAATTATATGTATTAGACAGGGAGCGGGAGACAACTATGGAATTAATATTGACCAATCAGATCACGAAAATGCAGAAACTCAAAATTTGCCAAATGAGGATTTCTTCTCTTGGTAAGTAGGGGAAAGTGGGTAACATTGAGACACGGGTAACAGTGAGACATTCAAAATATTAGCTATTTCTTCACTTTTTAAAGAGGTGTCGCCGCAATAAGACATTAATGATGTCTTAAGAGGAGTATCGGTTCTATTTTCAACCATCTTCCATTTTTAGTTTGGTCTGCAACGCGGAAGGGGGTACAACCTTCCGGTTATTTTTTTTTGTCAACGAACTTTTTCGGCGAAATTTGAAAAAACGGTGATTTTTTCTATTACGCATAGTCTTTAAGTGATATAAGGGAACCTATCTGCTGTTAATTGGATTTATTAAAACTAAATTAAAATCAAAGGGGGACTAAAAAATGGCATTTTATTTTTCAAAGTAACTTGGGTATGGATGAGACATGTTTAGATGGGTAACACTGAGACTATGTAGTTCTAGTAGAATTTCCAACTGAAACATTAAAAGAAAAAAATCTACCTATCGCATAGGAAAATTGTTATCAGAAATCGATAGTGATAACAAAAATGATTATAAATTACCATTTTTAAGGAAAAGTGATAAAAAGGAGGGATTTTTGTTTCCCCAAATGTCCAGATTTTAGAGATATTGCCACTGTTTCTAAAAGAGATATTAAGATGATTTTGCCAAAACTAGTGAATTACGGAAAGACTGAAATCGATCCTACCATGGCTTTGAAACTTTGTCTGGGTCATTTGTAGAAGTTTGTTGCAGTTTATTCAAGTAATTATTTCTCATTTGATATAGTGTCTCATTGAACCCCCTGCATGGGTATCAATGAGACAAATGTCATGATAACTGTTTATGTCAAATATTGTCTTTGTAAGTGACTATAGAATCAAAAACATAATAAATTTTTAACTTAGATTTATTCTTGAGTGTTACTGAAAAACAAAAATCCATATTTTAAACGTTTATGGTAAAATATTTTCATTAGAAAAAAAAGTGTCTCAGTGTTACCCAGTTTCCCCTAGTTTTTTTGTACCTTTTAAAACTATTTCTGCTTTCTGCTTTCGCATTTGTTTGGTACGGAAATATTCTTGGAATTTCTAGTCTGAATTATACACTCGTGTGGGATTAGTTACAGTTTTGATGTGTTTTTGGTGCTGTTGTTCCAAAATAAAGTTTATCTGAGTTCGGGAGAGTTGTATAACTTATCTGCGAACGGGCATACGTAACATTTGGTTAGAGAAATGGGATAAGTGAATGAGAAAAATTTCGTCTAGGATACGAGAAAACAAAACCGGCGAAATGGAGGATGAAATAAACCAGGTGCTCGCCTAAAAGTTTCACTAGAACGAGCAGGCAAACAAGAGAAACAGGACAAACAAAAAACGATGAACAGGTAAAAGATGCCAAGCGGCAGCTATAACAGAACCGACGCCATTAGAATATTTCGTAAGAAATTGAAACTAGAGGGGAAAGTCCAAAAAAAACACAAATGTGGAATACTTGATTTACTTCATCTTCTCCAAGCTCCTCAAGCTGTCCCTCTTTCCTCTGAAAGCAGCTTTTTGTAGTGTTCACTCTATTCTTCCGTAGATATTATCTGGACATTCGCTGCCTTCTTTTTACCTTTCCTCAGGTTTTCTATAGCTTTCCAAGCTGCTGCTACTCTTGAACCTCCCGATAGAATACATCTTCTAAGGTATGGGTGTTCATTTTAAAACTTACCACCCCTATTACATATCTTGGAGTTGAAAAGTTTTCGAAAAAATCCCTGAAACACGTCAACTATAATTTGAGGGGGGATGAGTTTTTATGCAAAATTTACCTCCCCCCTTTCAACCCCCCAGCCCCCAGAGCAACTCCCTAGAAAATCTTAAATGGGAAGGGGGGCCAAGTGATACATAATTTTGGAGGGTTTTTAGTTCCATACATTTTGGAACTAAATTTCAATCCCTACTGTTTTGGAAATATTGACAGTTGAAAACTGACTTTTTTGCTACTTTGACAGGCTGTAAAACCTAAACGGTTAATTTTCGAGGAAAACCGATCTTACATTCTTATCTTAGATTTTCATAAAGTCATTTGACATCAACTTTGAATTTAACCGGAGATTAAATTTTTAACCGAAATTTAGGATCATGGATTCAAGAAATTCAAAGTTGCTGTTGAATGATAGTGTATAAAAATCTAAGACAAGAATGTAAGTTTCCTTTAAAATTAACGCGCTTAGGTTTTACAGCCTGTCAAAATTGCAAAAAAGTCAATTTTCAACTGTCAATATTTCCAAAACAGTTGAACTTAGGGATTAAAATTTAGTACCAAAATGTATGGAATTGGAAACCCTCCAAAATGATGTATCACTTGAGGCCCCTTCCCATTTAAGATTTTCTAGGGGGTGGCTCTGGGGGATGAGGAGTTGAAAGGGGGAGGTGAATTTTGCGTAAAAACTCATCCCCCTACTAATTATAGTTGATGCGTTTCAGGGATTTTTTCGAAAATGTTCAACTGCGAGATAATAGGGGTGGTAAGTTTTAAAATGAACACCCTGTCTATTTAATAATAAGTGAGATTGGGAACACGCCTCATTTAGGTATCATAAAAGTTAGAGCATAATTTCACTTATACATTTATATGGCGGGTCAGCCTATTTTTTATTTGAATTAAAAATTTGAAAAAAATAATGTGGTCAATAGATAAAAAACTGCCCAAAAAGCGAGGGATATTGGGCAGCGTGAATTTACAACTCAATTTTTAAAACAAATTATTTTGCTTTCTTTCTAGCTTGCTTCCGAAGGGTGTGAAGTTATCACTCGATCACAAAATTTGCCCTAACACTAACGTCCATAATCCATGAGTATTTTTTCGTATGTTTTTTTTTTTTTTGTGGTTCTTTCAATTACGTGGAAAATATACCTACCTAATAGGTAATGCCAATATTAGGTATCGCACAAATTGTCAGGGTGCAAATTTATTTATTCCATTTTCTCACCAACTGCATATATTTGAGACGCTCAAATGAATATATATATTTGAGGATCAAATGAATATCAGGCATTATATCATTTTATTTACGTTAATGCCTGGTATGGTATTCATTTTGACCTATCAGAATGGGCAGTTTTTGTTTATTTAACAAACAAGTGTATTAATGAGAGCGATTAATAATCGAGGGATGTTAACGCGCTCGCTACGCTCACGCGTTAATGAGCAAGATTAGTGCAAGATGAGTTAGTTGCAAGATTTTTCCGTCGACTTCATTTAAAACGAAATTGAAAAGTTTCGATTTCAACCGCAGACTGCAGTACAGAATTATAGCCTTTTCGGCTTTACAGCTCCCAGTACTGTTCAATGTGACCGTTAGGTTAGTCATGACCGTTTTACCGCAAAGTGTGCAGTAAAGTAGACTGCAAAGTATGCGGTAAAGTAGATTCGGTGTTAAGGTACACTCGAAAATTTCTTCTCGTTCAGAAATTTCAATAATGCTTACTTTTGGAGATATGGATGCTCATAGGTATAATTTTGTACCTACCTGACACATGCGGAAAGTGCCTTTACCGCCCTTAACGACTGCCGTTGCGTGCGGTAAAGTATCACTTTTTGGATTTGTTAGGTGATGAATAACTATTATTTTTCTTATTTTATTTTACCTACTAGGCTGGTATAGCTTTTATCGAGGCTTTTATTCACTTATTTAGTAATTTGTCGAAAGTTCTTCTGTTTTGAAATCCGTAGGTAATAATTTGTTGAAACTTCATAATCAATAATTGACTATCCTTATTTTAAACCTATTGTGAGTTTTTAGACGATAGACTGTGGGTATAGTGGCGTGTGTTAAATTGAAATAAATGGGTCCTATTATTGAACGTTTACGTTAAATTTAACACAAATCTGTAATGTTACGCTAATAGGGAATAGATAACATATAAAATAACAGTAGATGTTATATCGGTATGATTGACGGAGTTGATAACAGAAGATGTTAGGCTAACTGTTGGAATGGAAGAAAGTATTTGTACCTAGCTTCACTTTGGTTTCAAAGTGACTTTTTTCTTGAAGCAAAAATAAACAATTAGGTTACATTTTTTTAGAGCTCATTTTACATTTTATATACAATGATTTTATTCAATTTATGAGGGCGAAAAGATTATCTTAAAACTTGAAGCAGTATGGATGGGGAGCTAGCATTTACAAATCATATAAATACCCTGGGTGTTGGATCCCCAAAAACATGATCAGTATGGATAGGTACCATTTATACAGAAAAATAAAGCATTACTAGAACAATCTAGAACCTATATGAAATAAAACAGATTCAAATAGGTATACGGAATTCAGATTAAATTATTTGGAACTTAGACTTTCATTTCAACTGGAAGGAATGAAATCCTTGGTCTTTGAGGAACATTAAAATGAGGCCCCATTCTTGCAATTATAAACTGCACCGATTCTTTTGGTTCTACAGGTCTGTTCCAACTTCCAACCCGCCAAAAAAGCGTCCAAGCACAGTTTCGGAACCATTCTGTATAAGAATTTCGGATTCTACGTCCAAATTTCACGTTTTGCGCAGAGTCCTGACGGTGAATACAGGTACCTACGGTTCTCTGCTAGGTTGGAACAAAGCGAAACAAAGCTTATAGTTTAGTAAGAAAACCTCATCAGGAGTTGCAAAAGGATTAGTTGATCTCTAAAATGCCTATTCTTTGAATGTTCAATTCAGTCCTTAAATAGTGAATTGATAATAAAGTTTTCTACCTTATCATTAACATAAAATAGTAATAAAGTTTATACTTAGAACCTTAGTAGGTACCTACCTCCTAATTTGATTATCTAATTCTTGTATTAAATGTAAATTAATTAACCCTTCATTTAAAATACGATCTCTGAAAAAAATTATTATTTTTTTGCTCTAAATTGCGGTTTCTCATTGGTGCGAAGCAGAACTAGCAGAAAACCGTTTTATGATAGCAATACGTCACAGTTGTCTGGAGGACGAAGGTAAATGAAATCCTTATGGCGCCAATTTCACTGTTTGACCTAGGCCGCCATATTGATTCAAAATCATGCAGGGGGTCATAAATGAACGATTTTGTATACATTAATAAAGCACGTTAATAAACCGTCAACGGAAAACAAAATAAACATATTTCACCCCTACCCCTACAATTTATGCAATACCTATATAATAATTTTATTATTTTTTGCTAAATTTAATGAATTCCTCTTTGCTATAACTAGTACCGAATCTCCTAATTCTGTCTGAAATTCTTAGCAAAATAACCATCAAAAATATATATATAAAAAAGCATATAAAGTAAAATATTTAGGACGCCTTTGAGCATTCGGGTATGTTCCGGCAAATCGTGAGCTTTTGTTTGATAACTTCAGACCAGTTTGCTTCCAGAAAAAAAAAAACAATCCTATTCAACTTTTAAGGGTCATTGATAAGCCTTTTGGTCAGTCACTAACAAATATCGAATAATTCTAGGATCCTGGAAGAAGATGAGCTCGATTCAATACCCGGTGTAAATCCAATAGGTCCTCATGCCGATCCGGTACCCTTGAATCAAATTGCTCTTGATCTTATGGTAACAACAGAAGATGAAGGCGAGGAAACGGTTTTAACTTGCCTCTAGGCTGTTGAATTAATTTCTACCAAAAATACAATAATTAATATCTATTATGTAGACTACATTAAGTTTTAGTTTTAATATTGTTCTATAATGATTGATTACGAATTTGTAAAGAATTCTGGTGTCCATTTTCAAAATATGTATATTTGAATCCAGTTTTTTAACAGGGTGTTGATTCTGAATTATGGATTTTCTAGGCAAACGTGAGCGAAAAACGCTACTCGTTAGTTTCTATTGGATTGTTTGTAAATCTTTTGCGTAAAACATTTTTAATTTTTTAACTGTTCTTATTCCATTTGATGATCGATTTCATCAAATAAAGCTACATAAAGATTCACAACTGCTTACATTTAATGCAGGTAAGTTTGGAATATGATAAAAAAAATGGCTTTTGGTCTAGAAGAAGCAGGTGTCTGAGCATGTTTGTTTCATAGAGGTAATCAACCTTTATATTTTTCTGCCACTGTCACTCAGTTATAGAGTTATGGACGGAGAGCCAGCGCCGAAAAAAATCTCTGATTTTACTAAAGACAGTTTCTGGATAGTTGATTACAATAGTTTTGTACATAAATATAGAGCGGTCAGTCAAGCGAAACTTAGAACAACGACCTAGGGGGTCTTGTTAAAGTTGTGGGGATAGCTTAGGTAGGTAATACAACGAATTTACTTGAGCTGAAAATCGTTATACATATAACCTTGATATAACATATAAATAACAGTAATGTTAGTCAGTCAGTTGAATAGCGGAACCGTGCTGGTCAGTCAGCCCCATTGAGGTAGGTCATCCCCAATCCCCAATATATGTGAAAACAATAATAGGGCTATTTTTTTTTAGAGTGATAGTGACAATCAATGACAATTCAAAATTTTAGGTTGAAGTATAAATTAATAGTAATATTACTATTTCTTGTAGTAGATTTGATTTATCGGGGCGGGGCTGATTGACCAGCACAGTTCCGCTATTCAACATTACTGTCCTTTATACGGTGTGCGTCATAAAGTTGGGTACATATGGGAAAATTCGTAATTATTCCTTTTTTCAAAAAACTTTTTCTGGGGATCGTTAGGGCATGTTCGATAACCAAAAAATCGATTATGACACATGTCATGTTATTTCTCTGATGACCAGAAAATGTGCAAAAAGGGACATGGGTACAGTTATAATAGCGACACGACCGGACGGTATTTTTTCTAATTTATGACCTACAAGTGTGTATTTCGCAAAACAATCGATTCGTTTGATATCAAACTTATGTAGTTTAGTTGAATAACTTTTTTTTTGAAATAAAATAAATATTTTCGATTTTCCATTTAATGGTATGGGTGAAATAAGTAGTTTTATTTTTTTTCTCTGATTTGCTTCAAAATCGGCATGTGGAGTTCATTTTGGATTCTGAGCAACCTTTTCTCATAAATTTTTTTGATATCTTGCCAAATTTGCCCGTTTTTCGACATCAATATCAACTTTTTCCAAAATTTCCGCTAAACCGATAATCGCATGACATGTGTCATAATCGATTTTTTGGTTATCGAACATGCCCTAACGATCATCCCCAAAAATTTTTTTTGAAAAAAAAAAATTTATGGCGCACGCTGTACGTATATTATATGTATATAATATGTATAACGATTTTCAGCTTTAGTAAATTTGTAGCATTACCCAGGTTATCACAACAACTTTAACAAGACACCCTAGGTCCTTGCTCTAAGTTTCGCTTGACTGACCGCGTTATATTTATCTTTACCTACTTAACTACTGTAATCAAGTGTCTAAAAACTAGTAGTAAAAGTAAAATTTTTTTTTATTACTTATTTCAATAAAGGGCTACAATAATAAATTTTAATGAAAAAAATAGTTTTTGTTACCTATTTGATCAAATTTTAATTCAGGAAGAGCTGTAGTGTTCGTTTCATATAATATAGGTAGGTATTACCTATATATCGAGCACTTTTTATTTCCAAACAAATAGGTACAATAACTTAATCAATGATAATTATTATAATAAATAGTAATAAGTAATCCCTAATTTTAAAAAAAAACTATACTTTTCGCAATTATTTATAAACTGAATGTTTAATATAAAAACGCCATCCCATATATAATTTCTGCAAAAAGTTGAAAGACAAAGTGTGACACTTAAGCAATAACTGTCACAACACGAGCACGTTGTAAAAGTTTAAACTCCAATTTGATTTAAATCAATTAAATCCATAATCATGGAATTTGTCATGGACCCCAAGAAGAGGAAATGAAATATGTATTGTTATCCGCCTGAAGTTCACGACAAAGCGATGGAGGTTTCGATAAATTTGTTATCCGCTTTTAATGAATTAACTGTGTTTTACCTGTGGTTTTACACTTACGTATTCAATTTTGTACCGTGATAAAATTTCTTTATTTAGTATGTTTAGTTTTCTGTTTTTGAAGTATTAAGTAATGCCATAACCTATAGTTATGTATGTGCCGGCAGAAATATAATGTGTAAACCATGGCGGTAAAGTGATTTTGCCAGGCTTCAAAGAAGTGTACCTACATTTCTTCTTTCGTCCTGGAAAAATGCCACTTTACAAGGTATACAATAGGTTTACAATATAGGTACTATTTCTTTACAATTGTGATTTCGCGTGTCTTTGTTTTAGACCCTTCTAATCAGCATGCCAATTTTTAATTCAGAATATTTCATCAATGGAAGTATGCCGGTCGATACCACGCTTTTTTAGATCACTTAATTGGCAATTTCCAGATCTCAAAATGGCATGTTGCATATTATATCTTCTACCAAATCTGCCATTTACCGGGAAATGCCCTTCTGGGAGTATTGAACCCAGCAGACTAGGTCCAGTGCAAACTACCTTTATTGGGATTTGGGAAGCCCCCTCTGGACCTGTCTCAGACCCAGCTTGTCTTCAGTCCAGTGGCGCAGCCAGAAATTTTATCTAGGGGGGGGGCCATGCAGAAAATAATATAGGTAAAAACACAGATTCGCTTTCCTTTAAAGTTTTTCTGATATGAGCAGTTTACAGTTATTTTTCTATTTTTCTCTGAAGCCTTGGGGGGGGGGCTGGCCCCCCTGGCCCCCCTGGCCACCCCCCTGGCTGCGCCACTGCTTCAGTCACGCCAAGTGTACAGTGTACATAATCTACAGTCGACAGAGTGGCCTATAAGTAGTACGTCCCTCCGTAGAAGAAACATGTCATTACATAGGGTAATATTCTGTTTTATCAATACATATCTTATTGTACCTATACCAAGCGAGTTTCTCTCTACCTGACCGCCCCACCTACGCCCCCAAGTCACGCTCCTGTTGTGACGTCCTAGGACGAGACGTATAGGGGTTGTGACATGTTTGGTACGTATAGAGGTTGTGACAATAGGTGATATGAATCTAGATCTATTGAAGGACACACAAACAGTAAAGGAGACTATCACAAGAAAAACGTCAAAGACAGAATTGTGGAGCAACATTGTAAGAGGAAAAGTAGATGGGGAACATGTGAGGACTTTTGAAAAATTAGCGGAAATTACAGATAAAGCTAAAAAGGAATGCACAATAGAACACAACATGAAGATAAAGGAAAGCAATTATTGGATAACATACGAATACTTGAAAAAAGATAACCTCAGGGACAAGGTTTATGTTCGGCATAAGAAAATACAGAATGAGTGGACAAAAAAGAATTCAACAGAATAAAAAACAAAGTAAATAACCTAAGGAAAAAACTACAAAAAGAGTAGGTATGCAGCAAAAAAATTTCATGACGCCAAAAAAACATGGAAAGTAGAGTAGAACCAATTTAAGAATGGTACATGCACGTGTCTGCACGGAGTTCTGACATCGAAGCCAGCGGGCAAACTATTATTTCGATAATTTTCATTTGGTATTAAAATAGATCTGATTTAGGTACGCTACTCAATGACCCAAGTAATCGCCGTTGTTATAATAACCGTGATGAGCATACCAATGTGCAACTTTGCGGCGAAACACGTGCGTGTACCATTCTTAAGTTTGGTGGACTCTATCAAATAATTTATGTAGCAGAAATAGACAAAAACACACGAATGCAAATAAAATCTTAAACCAAAGATGGAGAGGCAGTTGAAGAAGCAGATGAAATCACTGCTTTGTTTGATCAACACTTTGCAAGCATAGGGCAGAAATTAGCTTCTAACATCAAGCACATTCCCCAATACAAGTAATAGGTATGTAGAACAGGAGGTTGGGGATTCTATTTTTCTGAAACCAACAAATTTGCCTGAAATTAAGAATATACTGTTCGAAATGAACAACAACTGTGCACCTGGATTGGACAACCTATTAAAAAAAAGATTTGGTTTTATTGTTTGATATCATTGGAAACAAAATTGTGGATATAACTAACAAAATATTAGAAAGTGGTAGCTACCCGAAGGGACTAAAAACTGCCAAAATAATATCAATCTACAAAAAAGGGGCTCAACAACTCAAACAATTACAGTCCACTCTCTCTGCTCAGTTCATTCTCAAAAATTGTGGAAAAAGTTATTGGAACGGAACTAGATTGAGTAATTTTATTGAAAGGACATTCCATTATGATGAAAGTCAGTATGGTTCTCTTAAAAGGAGCAGTACCTTAGGAGCGACAGTAGATCTTCTGGATTACATCTCGGGACAAATAGATTAAAACAACTGTGTTGTGGCTGTGTTCGTAGACTTGAAAAAAGCGTTTGATACTGTGGATATAGATCTTTTATTGAATAAACTATGTAAAATGGGATGTCGGGGTGTGTGTTATGATCTTAAGCTATTCAACAAATAGGAAGCAATGTACTTAGGTATTCAAATAATCATAGGAGTTGTGAGCTGAAAGTTAGTGTTGGAGTAGCACAGGGCTCGGTACTAGGACCGTTACAGTATCTACTCTATGTCCATAGTCTGAAATTTGTGAATCTAACTTTGAAATACTTCATGTTTGCGGATGATACAGTCCTTGTCTGCAGTGGTGAAAACTTACAGCAAGTTTAAGATACTATAAATGGTGATCTGCTGTATTAGCCTTATTGAACCACACCTGAGATACCTTATACTACAGTGACTAAGTAAACCTTCACATACAGTGGCGACAATAGAGGTCCTGCCACCAGTATTA